AAAATAAAACAGGTTTGAAGCCAAGTCTCCTGGGTTTTTTGTTTGTTTGGTGTGTGTTTATAGTAATTCCGGCTCTATTCACTGTAGTATTCAGATGACGCCAAGCTGGTTGTAGTTCTGCGAAAAACAGTTTTGGAGCTTGAATTGGAAATGGTCATGAACCATCCTCTTTGCCCATGAAAGCTAGCGGAGGTGGTATAAGAGGAAAATATCGACTCACACGACGTTCCTATTTTAATTTCCTTTTTCCCGCTTATGATTCAATAGAATGAGTCAGTAATTAGAACAGAATACGTCAATTTTGGCGTTTAAACACTAAAGTGGTAATTTGCATAAAGAAGACGGGAAGTTCATATAAATTAACGCAGAATTTATGAGATCCTGTCATGAAAATTAAACTGATGCTCGTGGTTTTTTTTTTTAATTCCCTAGTCAGCCGAGATCCTAACATTTACACGGACTAGATGAAAGTCGTGGAATTTTGATCTCAGAGTCCTTGCTCTCGGTTCACGGTTTGACATTTTCAAATATAAGACGATGCAGGAAGAGGTATTCAGATTGTGACAGACCCTTAGGCTAGTTTTTGTCCGGGTGGGTTTGTTTATTCTCATAAACTGGATCATTGGATAATGCAATTCAAGAGTTTTCATTGGCTTAGCCATCGTGGTATATGAGCCATTATATTACACCATGCTTTACAAATATGTTAAGGATACGCGTAATTTTTGTAATTTTATTTCATTTTTGTTTTCTATCAATTATTTTTGGAGGCGTTTTTAATAAAACAGTTATAGCCAGCTCGGCGTTACGTGCCTCGTTGCATCTCATATCCAACGCGCGCGACTGGAACAATTGTTTATTATACAACGGACCAATTCAGACAGGTGCAGTTCCAAATTTTACTCACTTATTATTTTCATTGATGTACCAGTGACTTACGAAACATTTACTGAGAAAGGGTTTTCTAGTTGTTTTCAACATACCGTGTGGACGAAATTTTTTCGCGTCTAATTTTTGCGAGTTTTGGTTTTATTTTTTTTTTCAAAGATTCCGACATAAAAATTTTTCCGGCACAAATGTCGTGCCATACAGTATACAGGCCGGGGTCTCGTAGTGGATGTTAAGACGCGTT